GTGGCAAGAGGTACACAAGAAATGTAATATATCCCCATATTTCCAAAAATCTAATTTTTTGTCAGGGGGCCCAAGATTCCTGGCAGCGCCCCTGCCTCTACCTATCAAATTATGGGCAAGAATATTTTTATTCACAAACCAAATACGCCAAATAATACCTATGTTTTTTTGTGAATAAAAACATAGGTCTGATGTTGACGTTAGAAAAACTGTTTCTATTTATATTTTCGTAATTGTCCTCACAATAGCGGGAAAAAATCCGCCTTGCTCCTAAACACAGAAATGCTTCAGCTGTGAGAAAACTTCTGACTTTAACTTCATCAGGCTGCTAAAAGCCCGGTTCGCTACAGGCGGTCCGAGTCGGTCCCACCGGCAGATAGAAAGAATGTCTTTATATCAGACATCCTGATATAACACATGATACTGCAACTGCAACCGCGAGTTGCGATGCACCTCAAAGCCCCGGTACCACCACCCGGTACACCTGCTCTCTGTTCGCTCTGTTTCTCCTTAACGTTTCTACCAGGCTGCTGACACGATCTGGGCTGGAGGTGAGCAGCTGTAAATAGAAGTTATTGCAGAACCTCAAGTGTTTAAGGAAGATTCGGCCCATAGCAACTGGAGTTCACAAAACAAACATCAGCAAAAATACTGTAGCAATAACTAAAACCGCAGCACAAAGCCAAACATGCCACAATCAAATGAATCAAAATGTCCCCAAAGCATCGGCGGACTGGCAAGGGGCCACCGGAGGATTCCAGGTAGATTCCAGGTAGATTCCAGGTAGATTCAGAGATGCCCATCGCAGCGACTGTTCATGCAGGGCCGGACCAAGGTAATATGGGGCCTTAGACAGAACTCCCCTCTCCTCAAAACCCCTCCTACTAAGAACCTCAGCATCACTAACATGTTTAAATACAGATAAGGTGAAGTCTGTGAAAGGGAGACCAGGTTTATTGGCCGAGTTTAAAATCAGTCACTGATTATTGGTTATTTGCTGTGATGTATTTGTGAACAAACCAGCTCAAACACGAAGATTACACCATATTGTAGCCATGGTAACACACCATCAAGATGATTCTTTAAACTTTTTACAAAGTAAACTTCCTAATTAAATCCTACAATTTTTTTTTCTCAACATGATGCAGTAAATAAAATGTAATAACATTGTCATTCTCTATAAATGAATGCTACTACTTTAGATCTATGGTCTGTGTTACAATTCAACCATTTCTAGGGGCCCCTGACTGGCCCCTACCAGCAGCTACTGAGTTTTCTTTGCCTTGATATCCCAGTCTTACAATTCTAGATC